CAAATATGGGTCGTCGCCGCCGACAAACGCATCATTATATGTGATGTCCACCGTCACCGATTTATAAATATACAATATTATTCCATGTTATAAAAAAGGAGCTGTGAACGGCCGACCGGTTCGTCAGCACACCAAAACTGTTTTCATATAATATATAGGTATAATACTACGCACGTAGCCTATAGCACTATACAATCATGTGTATACGGCAGTGCTGCAGTAGTTGTAATAGTACAAACTGGGGCTATACCGGGATGACGGTATAAGAGTCGTGGTAACCACGGTCACCGTGATCGTCTATACGAATGTAATATAGCAAGCTAGATACTAGATACACGTGACTGAAACGCCTCACTCACCGAACGCGGTATGCGGTCGATGTGTAATTGGTGCTTTAGAGTTAGAAACAAAATATAGTTCAGCAAATGTCGCAATTATAATTGAGGCTACAACAGTCTCGATTATAGTTTAGATAGATTTGTAGGAAAAGCAAACGCCCACCCTAAATTTGATCTCGATCAGATTGAATTGACTTAATAATATTTAATATTTTATGCTGTAACTTGTGTTAAATGTGTTGAATTATATTAAAAACAATTTATTTGTAACATAAAAAATTAAGTATTTGTTCTCATACGATTTTACGACCTATTTTACTATATCGTGAACTTGAACTGATTAACTCGTTAGTATCTATAGGTACAGACGTACAGCTTTGTCTATTTAGTAAATAATATAATACACCATAATATTTGACAGTTTACGATTGTCTATCGTTGTTGTGGTCACGTCTCGCGAAATGTTGGTTTGAATAGGACAATATTGACTTGTGAAAATTAAGCGTAAGTTCACGCCCACGGATCGATTAATAAAATTGTGCGTGTCTATACATATACATTATACACAACGTCCGAATTTATATTATTTTCGACGACACCGTAAATGGATTTACGTCAAATCTAAAATGAAATACGAGCGTTGAATCGTACCAAATGTTGCTAAACGAGTGACCGAGATCCGGTGGAAGTAGTCGCAACCTTATACGTCGCGTTATTCTGCGTCTTTATAGTGTCTTACTGTTTTACGATTACATTTTTAGAAATTATTAGGAGAAAAAACACAAATAAGGTTGCATAATGCTATGTTTATAGTTCATGCTAAAAGGCTAAAATTTAAATATTATCATTAAATGGAATATTAAATCGTAAATTATATAATAATATAGTACATATTGATTATATATATTCGTTACAATTTTTGGCATTTCAACATTTTTTCCCGTTTATTTTGTTATTTGTCTATAACATTTTTTCATTCTACATCTGTAAATGAAAACCTCTTATTAACCGGTTGTATATCGCATTTTGCGTCATAATAATATTATAAGTACTTGACACCAATTAGGTCCTCCCACTGTAATATTGCTGTATCACCGGTAAATTATAACATTGAACATTTGAACTACGCAACATAAATTTATGTTAATACTGTCACTTAGATAGTATATTATTATGCATTTATGCTATAATAAACGAAGAAAATTGAAGAAAAACAAGTATTGCACTAAACAATTACTATTAATCCGTAAACGATTTTAAATTTTTACATTTTGCTTTCGGAATAATTATTATATCGAAAGGCTCAATTCCGTTTTTGATGAATTTAAAACAAATGTGTTTACTAAAATTTTGTTTAATACTATATGTGATACAATAATATGAATAAAGGAATGTGATAATCAAGAAATGTATATCAAATCAGCCAGTGAATTTTCCGGATTTTATTTAGAAATTACTTTCTGGTCACATTATTATCTATATTTTATCTTTTTTTTAAAAACAAAATAATTATAATTTTATGTGTATCAATTTAATATGTAGCGAGGGACTTTAAAACATTGTATTTACAAACGCTGTAATTATAGAACACATAATATTACTTCAAGATTGTATCCATATTGGTATTTTGATCACGATATAATATTAAAATATCAAAGGTCTGAGGTAATAAACAATTAAATAATCCGTTCTTATCTGGTGTCGTGTAATCTTAAGCTCCAAAGTATAATAATATACGTATTTATAGGTGTACAATTAATCTTGATTTAATGCGACCGGTGTAAACTGGTCATAATATATGCATATTTAGAGCTATAATAATGCGTACACCTTTATAATCCCACAATGATAACATTCTGTAATCCACCGCTCATAATTGTATTTCTAAATGGTTTTAAGCATGTATCAGCATACAGTGATCTTAATAATTTTATACTGCTTAAGCGCTGATGACATTTGGGCTAGGTCATGGGGGAGGATTAAACTTTTTTCCATAAAAATACTTAGCAACAGACCACTCTATTTTATAAATGTACCTATTTTAATTATAACACTCATTAGCGTTTTATTTAACATTTTTGATCGCATATCAAAAATACCCTTTTTTTATAAAAAAAACAACTGGGTGCAGGACAAGCTTTAGATAAAATAATAAAAATCGTATTTTCAAAACCAAAAATTAAAAAAAAGTTGATAAATGTCTAAAATTGGACCGCGATCTTTACGCCGGCTCATCGTGGTCACCTTCAATCGTTCGCTCATCCAATCGTGAGAACTCAAATAAAAAATATCTAGTGATTTTATATTTTTTATTAATTAAAAAAAATGGCCTATGGGTGTGAATATACTGACACCCCATGATTAAGTCACAATGATCCAGTACGGAATACATACCCACAAGCCACTTGTAAACAATTATTTGTATAGTTTTGATCAGTAAATATATTATTATTACTGTGTGTGTAAACCCACCGTTGCTACTTACTATCTACGTATATATCCGTTCATGTCTTAGATCATTACTAGTATATGATCTAAGGTTCATGTAGACCGCACATCGTGAATATATAAATATTTTGTAATCTCGGAATTTTTTGACCTATACGCGAGATTATTTTTTTCAGACGAAATCAAAAATAAAACCGCATGTACCTACTATAATGTCATGCTGTGGTCACTAAACCCGTACGATAAATTAATAAATGATAATACGATGGCGATCCCACCCAGAAAAATTTTGGGCGTTCACGGTAAAATATCACGTGCTTCTACCTCGGCGCACGACACCTACGCAGGTCTTTGGCGCGGCGCCACGTCGTAAATCGCGAACACATGCGATCTTCGTCGTCCGATTGTATCTGCATATATAGAGATAATCTGTTGGTACGACCACCGTAGAGTAGGTACTACAGGTGTAAAAAATTAATAGAATATCGGACTTAAGGATGGACGAAATACGGTTTATATAAAGCTAAAAATTGTATCAAAATGATTTATCTTCGGGTCACTTGCACTTATCCCGCTATCCATTTTTTTGGCTAGAAAATCGTGTTCGTACTCTAGACCGACCTTATCATCCAATAGTATTATGAGTCATCGAAGAGCGGCTTGCAAATATTCTGTTATACGCACGTCATGATGGCAAATATGCAAATACTGTATAGCTGGTCCATATAACATGATAAAAATATGATCAATAAACGAGAATAATATATTAATTATAAGCTATTATAATCGAACTAGAACATTCATAAATTTTTTTTTTTTGATTCCAACTTCTTTGGATTCCTAGAAAAACGAACGATTAATTTGTTCTGATCATCAGAATGTATTAAAATTGAATACCGATTTCAAGTAGATGCAAAATAACATATGACTAAAAAAAAATCTAAAACCAATCAAAGCAATTAAAATGGTAAAATGTACCTACTCTTAAAATATCGGTTCCTATAAGGCATCCGTAATCCCAATATTACCAGTAAGTTTCTATATTATTTTCGTCACGGCTCCTGAGTCTGACTGAGAATGAAATTCAACACTATCTTATAGATTAATTTATTAACTATTACGTATCATTGAAAATATATATGTTTACATTCAAATTTTGGGCATTTCCAGCCCTACAAATAATTATCCGACAAACGAATACTAATATCTTGTATGATTCTCAAATATATATAGCTACGCAAGCTTTACATTATAATATACAAAACTCGCCTTATTAATAATAATACTTTTCTGGACGATCATTAAAAATGTTTGCGACGCGTACAACTTATGTGCATTGTTTACTGTACGACGGGTGTTGTCATTATATTATCATTATATGGTCGTCCTTGGTCTTGGTCGATCGCAGAATGCTCGGTAACTGCGGTACATACGCGTAGGCCGCCGTAGACATTACAAGCCATAAAAAAAATTGTCGCGAATCTTCTTCAAATCGTTTTTATTATAATTATTGTAATGCTTTTCAACGACACGCCACCTCTGCCACCATACGAATACAGTGTGCGTGAGTATTTGTTGTTTTTTTTTTTTAATATTTGCGTCACGAACGTTATTTAATATAATAATGCGACGCGGAGCGAAAGAAAAACAACTCACGCCTCAAATTCATCCATTATTTTATTACAAATCAATAAAACTAAATTTTAATCGGTATTATACAAACGTTATAGATACGCGTTTACAATATAATATACCAAGTTACGTCTTGAGATTCGAAACAGTAATGTGAACCCGGTGAACGTCATCCGTCCAATTCATATTATTCGATACCTATCATTTTATAATACCCATTATACCTACATTTATCAATTATTAGTATAATAATAATAATAATAATATGTATTTTATTTTATTATTAATTTCAAAATCGTTTTTATTTTATTTTATAGGGGTCAATTCGCTTCAGTCAGACGGTGCACTTCGATCGAAACTGGAGAAGTGTTTGCGGCCAAATTTTCAAACCGCACGAGATTCGGCGAAGACTGCAGTCCCGACATCCATCACGAAATAGCTTTGCTGTCGCTGTGTTCGCCGTCACCACGGATAACCAAACTGCATGATGTGTTTCAAACGCCCAAACAGTTAATCATCGTCATGGAATAGTGCGAACAATATATTATTATAATTTATAATTTTTTTACAATCAATAAAACTATGACTATAATTGACGATGGGCGATTTACGTTTTTTAGTGCTCCGGGAGGTGATCTGCAGAAAGTCATCGACGACGACAACGTGCCATTTGAAGCCGACGTGGTCAAGTTCATACACCACGTGGTCGAAGGCTTGGCGTACATGCACCAGCGGAAAATTGCTCACTTAGACATCAAAGTGAGTGCGGTGGCAAACGCGCGCCAAGGTTTATTAAACATATATATCCCCCCAAAAATATAGTAAAATAATGAGTAAAAAATGATGGTATTGGTGACATGTTGGTTTCCTGGAACGGTCCAGCTCCAAATGAGGTGTGCGTATGTGCAGTACACGTGCTTTAAAATCCATTATAGGCCACCCACGAACAAACCAACGAACGCCGCGGCCGTCACGATCTAGATTCTATATAGACTCTAGAGATCGTTATCGCGATATATAGTCCTGGATCAAGGACCAGCCCCGACTGACAGGAAATCCATAATATCGTCCATTATTATTGATATCGAATTAACATTTTATTAATATGCCGTATCGTGTTCGGTGTTCGTATTGTTAAGGCCAAGTATATATGGTAATGAGTAATGGACGATATATCATACATTTAATTCGTGACAGACTACGACAATATTTAGCATATTATATACTTACAACGACACACTTGCAGCAATTTTAATTCCAAATAAAAAATATTATGTTATAAACGTTCCAGTGATTAACATTTTACATTTACAAATATCGATGTTTACAGCCACAAAATTTGGTGTTAATGGGTGTATTTCCAACTTGCGACGTCAAGCTTTGTGATTTTGAAATATCCCGAGTGATTCTGGAGGGTACGGAAATCCGAGAAATCCTTGGCACACCCGACTACGTCGGTGAGTAAACCGTTTTAAAAACGACTTTTGCACAATATATTCGTTTACTACAAAATATAGCCTGTTTGAAAAAATATTTAAAATATAAATTTAATCAAAATTTGTGTTTTTAGCTCCAGAAATCCTTCATTACGAACCAATCACGTTGGCCGCAGACATGTGGTGAGTAATAATTCACTTGTATTATACAAGTTTACTTAGAAATTTAGGATATTATTGTTAGGTAACCTAGGTATAACCTTGCAGCCCATTCCCAAGAATACATATTTCAGAGATCACTCGTCCCCACAAATATTCCATCGACTCATTAAAACGGAAATTCTGACTGGAGCGTATAAACTATAAAGAGGTGATATGTATAGGTAGGCCTGATCAGTCCCGTGATCTTTTTTTTTTCATGTAGCAACATTGAACAAATTCTGGACACCAACAAACAAATAACACGCATTATATTATATGCGTGGGTAGAAAATTTTAAAAGTTCTAAAAGGGAAGGGAAGTAAACCATATTATGTGAAATAATATTTTTTTTAGAAAATCATAATGTAATTTTTATATTCTTAATAATATGTAGTAATTTCACTATAAATGGTAATATATATATTTAATTTATATATTATTATTATAATCATAATAATATCATATAGATGCAATATAAAAATTTGTGATACACTACCCTACTATTTTATACTGTAGTGATACTCACTATCAAACGTGCATGAATTTAAAAATATTTACAAGACAATTCCCAATGTCCATTGTATATTAACGGTAATTTATTTTTAAATCTTGACATAATCTTGAATCAGTCCGTCCGGCATTCGTAAAATAACAGAAATTATTAATTTACGAATGATTGGTGCGTGTATTGTTTTAGGTCGCTTGGTGTGACTACTTACGCACTGTTGACGGGGTTCAGTCCGTTTGGTGGTGACACTGACCAGGAGACGTTCTGCAACATATCAAATGCTGACATCGACTTCCCGGACGAACTTTTCGAGGACGTGTCAGGGGAGGCGGTTGACTTCATCCGGAAGCTGTTGGTCAAAGATCCCAGGGAGAGGCTGACAGCCAAAGAGTGTTTGAAACACCCGTGGCTGGCAAACCTCCGCAAGTCTTCGTCCGGCAGCAGCCATTCGGTGCAGCACCACCAGCATCTCCAACAAAACTACCACCAACATCAACAGCCCCACCAACAACAACACCAACAACCGTCGGTCGCGAAACGTACTGGCTGCAACACGTGTGCGGGTATTACGCCATCGATCAGTGCTAGACGTAGCGGTGGTGGTTTGCAACCTTCATACCTCTCCAAGTCTCGGGAGGCACTTTTTGAGCGGATCGTGTCCAAGCACATGCGGGAAAGTGACATGAAGAGGTCATCTATGTTGCATGAGTCGCAGTACGCGTCCAGTCGGATGTGCGAGAGTCATACGTCCCTGGTATCCCGGTCACGGAATGGCACCCGGACGTTCAGCAAATCCAAGGAGAAGCTGTACGGGCTCAAGAGCCTGTCCCGGTCTCAGGACGTGCTGGACATGTGCAAGAGCATCAAGGACCTGAGCGAAGTGGACAAAATAGCCACTGTCGGCAGCCTGCTGATGAGTCTCACTGGTGTCTCTACTCTGCCCAACTCATTGTGCTCGTCCACCACCAACATATCCGTGTCTCAGAGCCACATACCCGAGGGTTTGGTGTCCGAGGATGATAAGGAGAATTGCATAGTGAGAAACGGCGATCGTGACACCGACATGCCTGTCACAGCCTCCACTGCAGTATTTAACCCCATCAATACAAACACCACCACTCCTGTCGATACCACCCCAGCGGAATCTATCAACTACACCACGACCGCAACCACCACAACCACGGTTACCTCAACGCCGGACTACGCACCACGATCCGGGTCTCCTGCCGGCAGTAGTACCAGTGGCACGAGCAGTGTAGAACACTTTTACCATTCCGACGAAGAGCCCAGGTAAATCCATCATGCAGACTTTTTGGGGTTGAAAGGAAGTTCTAAGATTCAAAAAGGGGGGTGCATTATGAAAGTATCATCTATTGAGACAATAATATTATTGTATCTACTAAGTTGCTTTTTCAGATAAAATGCAATTAAATTGATCAATGTAGGTACGTAGAATTTAAATATATCTATATAAATTTAAAAAAAAAATCACGTGATGCTATTAAATGCTTTAACCCGATTTTGCCATATTCCAATTGTTGAATCATATTATTATTGACGCAGCGGAGCAGTACGGCCGCTGCCAATCTGCCGACCCAGCCCATACTAGTAGTATCGTCTAAGATGCTGCAGAGAAAACGTACTAATACAAACCGAAAATGTAGGCACTATATTAATTATATTGTTGGTTTGTTATATTTTCGTATACCACAGTTCAATGCAATCGGTGACATACAAAGAAAAAAAAACTTTTAAATCATCGGATCACACCTAAAGATTGCTGGAGGCACTGCTATAAAGCTATATAGAAAACCAAAAATTTAGCTTGTTCCTTAGTTACTCTAAGCAACTATGATTCATTGAAGAGGGCGGGGCGGGAGGCTAAATCTACGTCAAATCCGGTCGTCTCTACAATCCTCGAAATCAAATACTATAATACCACACTTGCATGGTGAAATGTATATTTACATATTACATTGACGTTTATTTTTGCTAATATAGTAGCATGATTTATATTCCGTGAAAATTAAAATTGTAAAACTATTTGCACGTAATATTTTTGGCTTGGTACCTCCTACGATCCGGACTCGCATAAATTAACACGTATTTATATTCACTAATATAGTAAATAGGTGTCCACTCTATTAACGGCCCACTGCTCAACATCATCAACGGGCGGTCCGGTGGTCGTAAGGTCGTCATCCTTACGGGTACGGCGACGGGAGCCGGCTGGTTATAGTTACCTATACGGCTATACCGCGGTATAAATCGAATCTACGTTTTGCGATCTGTTGGTAGAAACTCGTATGAAATTAGGCGAAAGAAATATGATTTAAACGACACCAGTAAGACAGTCGACAATATTGGTCAGGACACAATCAAAACACATGTCATGTATATGACTCATTATATTATATTCCATGTACCTAATATCAGATATAGAGGTACTTACCACTAAAATAATACTTAAATGCTCGATAATCAACAGCATTTTTTTTTTTATAAGATTCGATAAAATATTAACGATCAATGTGATATTCTTTATTATCTAGAGCGCATTGCTTATTAAAATTTTGCGTTTTTCGTCTTTTCCGTCGTCCCTCCACCATGGATACCTACTAAGCAAATACTACAACTTACTATACACTTTTGTCTCGTAAAAATATTAGATACATCATATTATTAATACGCATAGATAGAACTTCGTAAAGTCACGAACCATTAATGTTCGACTTTCGAAACTGTCCCTTCTATCAATTTTGTAATAAATAATAATATAACAAACGGATCGCGCCATAGTTCATTGTAATATGGTTCAATAACATAATAATTATATTAATATTATTGTAATATATGTGCATCGAAATATATTATAATATTATTATGTCGTGTTATTAAAACAATATCGTTACGTATATTCTCTATTGTTTTTTCGAGAGCGTTCAAAGAAGAAAAAAACTTCAATTGTGATAATTATAACGCAACCGGCAACCGGCGGATGATAGTGCGAAATCGATTTATATTTTTAAATATTGATTTCACGTAGCGTCGACGGGCACCCACCCTACTTTCTAAAGTCGAGTGTCGACGGCAAACTTTATAATATGCGTTACTTATTCAAATCTTATATGTAATGATATGATGGAATACACGAAATTGAAAATAAATAACGTTTTTACCGA